GCAATCCTTGTCATAGTTTTTGGAACACTACTGGAGGTATGAAACACCATTCTTCCAAAAGTAATGCTCTCATTTCATGTTTTGATGGTCATGGTCATGGGCACTGTCTCATGTCCGGGTCTAAAATCTCCCATAGGTCTTGTCTGGTGACTGTGGAGGGGATTAAATGTGATTCAAATCATTTCCATACTCATGAAAGCATTTAGTGACCCCATGTGCCTTCTATGTGCAACCAGCATCTATGTGGAAACATCTACATTTTTTAGATGTCTACACACATTTATTCAGTTTTTTTCCTTTAACTAATTGCAAATTGTACAGTTATTCAGCCTAAGTTTGCATTTGAATGAAAATTCAAATCCAATAATGTGTTTCCCTAATTGGTTTGTAATAAATCATTTGAATATCCCACAGACACAACGTCTGTCTTAATTACATATTATGTTATTTACATAATTACAATAATTTTTTCCCCAGCAATTGATTTTTTTGCACTGTAACCAGAGACACTTGAGTGAGCTTACTGTTACCAAATGGCTAAGCATGATAGTGCTATCATTTCAGAAGTGTTTATGCTGAACTTCAGATAGGGCACCTGCTCCCCAGTGCAGTGTCGTTGTTACAGGGAACCCTGGTTGATATGCCTACATTGTTTAAATGTAAGTCGAAACAAATGTATTTGTAAAGCACATTTGACATAATAGACTGATCACGGTATTAGGCTATTGTTGTATACATCTGCTTGTTTGATTCCCTGTGTGAAAAAGCTTATCATAAGCCTCAAAGCTGAAGCTCGGAGGTTATTGAGTAAATAGAGACCCCTGCAGACAGTTTAAGGTAACTATTTTTTCTCCAAAATATAAAACTTTATTTTGTCAGTTAAGTTCACCCTTTATTTATTTTTTATTTTTTTTGAGTGAACGAGTAGAAATCAGGCTGCTTTTACATGGGGTAGTACAAAAGAAGACAAATTTACGTTCTTAAAATCGATTTGGGTTAATGTAGTCTATGGATAAAACAGTTTTAGTCCTGGCTGCTGAAGACACTTTTTCTCACTTTTTTTCCTTAGGATACAGTCCCTTTGCTCTGTGGATCCAGTTCGCTGAAAGTACACCAGAAATCTGACGAACTGATGTTTCGACTTATTGTGAAGGTGAGTCTTTAGATGCATTGCAACCCCACAATGAGCAGTATTTTTTCAAGGTTTGTCCTAGTCCTTGTAAAGGACTGTAAAAATTTAAAAGGGAAAACTAAAAGTAATCTAGCTTTGAATTGAATTATTGTTATGCTGGTTATTCAGGTGCTATGATGAACGGCCTCTTGACACTGAGATTATGACCCAGATAATTGGTGAAATCTGAGTTGCCTGAACATTAGATTTTGAAGTTTCCTTGTGTACATAACCCTTTTTAAACTTAAATGCTGATCTAACAGAAGCAACATGCAAACTACAGTGTGTGTTTTCTCTGACACAGTTTAAAGTGACAAATCCGATTTGAAAGTATTTGTGAATTTCTGCAGGGGGAGAGCCGCATGATGAGGATGCAGTTTGATGGAAGTAACAGGGCAGAGGCAATAAAGGAGTGTTCAAGAGCTGTAGAAAAACTGATGGAGCACATTCCTGTCACCGCTCAGGATGACGCCCCATTGCCCCCTAATCAGTCGCCCGCTGAGGTCCCTGCACCAGTGACACAGGTTGCTAACTTTACAATTTTGTCAATGTAATTTCTATATTGTGACCAGCACTGTCGTCCAGATCAGATGTTTGTACGTTTTTACAAATGTGTGGCCCATCGAAATCCGCCAAATAGGACTATTACATTCTGTAATGCAATTTGAAGCTGAGTTTGATTTGTGGCTGCACAGTATCAAAGAGCTTCTGCTTTTTGTTTTTGTTTGTTGATCTCCTATGTGACAGTTTATTGCACAGTATTTTGTAAATTTAAAAAAGTATTTAAAGTGCCATAATTGACTTTTTAATAGTCACTACTGATTGCTAAATCAACAGTATTGTGCTACAACGCTGTGGTCAGCTTCCTCAAACAGTTGCCGTATTATTCTCACTAGGTGGTGCTATTTACAATACCGTCTATTCTCAGAGCTACAGCAGGTGGACTGAGATAGAGAATGTACTGCACATGAAGTATCAGCCAGTCACAATACAATATATGGTGTGTAGAATACAGTATGTCCCACCCCAAACACACACGCACAGACAGGAAAGTAGAACAATAATATAATTGATTTATAAATACAAGCATCAGAGTGGCCTATCCTTTGAGCCACTGAAGAAATGCGTTCTTGATATTGCCGTTAACAGTCAAATTGTTGACCATGAAAACAAACATTTTTGTGCCAAAGCTAAAAACCACCAACAACAATAAGACATGCCATCAAAGCATTTAACCAGTTGAAGTTCACACTCTAGGAATGACATACTAGAGGAATGAAATTGATGGCGCTCTGTTACACCATTCTGCTTTATTACAGTAGTGACCTATATTTACTTCTCAGATTTAAAAACACTCAGAGCATTGGGTGTATTAGTGATCAGATTCTAAGTCAAACTTAGCTCCAGCCATCTGGCTCACAGCATTTAACATGAAGGACAGAGAAAGGAGTGGACTGTGCCATGAGTGTGACCTTTAGTGAACAGACACACTGAAGGAGTTCACAGTGAAGATGAAAGGGCTTTGAGGGGTGGGTATGTTTCAATTAGTAATGAAGCCATTGATTGGCCTCTTAACCCTGTGGAGTCGTGCTGTGCTCGTCAAATCTTTTTTCTTCTTTTGTGTGTCAGCAGACTTGGCAGGAAAAGGCTGGGAGAGCTGAGCCTGAGGTTGTCCAAGGATCATTGTCCATCGAGCACCTCGCTCAGGTAGTGATCGTTAGTTAAAAGTGAGAGTTAACAAAACTGAACATCCACCGTGCAATATATTAATTGTAATTTTGTGTTAACTTTAACTGAGGAGCACTGAGGAGATTTAATGAGGTGCAGGGTGCTCAGTTTATTTACTTCCTTAAATTGTAAACACCAATATAAGCCTCTCAATTATTTGTTCTTCTTTTTAATTTCGCTTAAGTAATTATTGGCCCTTCCACAGCACTTCTTGGGAGAGACTGCTTTGACTCTGCCTCAAGTATATCGCCACAGTTTTTTGGAACAAGGGGACTTGGAGCCCATCCTGCGTGTTTGTCTGCTGGATCCCAGCTTTCCTGCATTTGTGGAGAAGGTGGAGGGGGAGCTGAGGAAACTGCTTCCAGAGTGAAGAATCTCAACAAGAGCTGAAGGCAGAAAGGTCAAGTCAGTGCAATGTGTTTTTTCATATACACTCTGTGTGGGCGGTGCCTGGTGGTGGTGGTGGTGGTGGTGGAGTGTTTCTTGCTGCGCTGCCGATGTTATTTGAAATGTTACACATTAGTTGTTATTGTATACGGCTTGAAGAGGATGCTCTGGATGGTGTTGGATTTAGGTGGTTAAAGGAAGAACTTGCAAAATAAAATAAAAAAATCTAGATTCATTTGTAATTTTTTTATTCAGAAAAAAAATATTGGTCTCACTCATATGTTTGATCGTGGCTATATACTCTGGTCCCTCAGTTTCCACCTTAACGCAGGCCCGTTTCCACCGCAACACACATGGATACATTGTATTGAAAGAGGAGTCATGCAGCTACAGCAGTGAATTTTGCTATGCCAGCTTCCAAGTGATCCCACAATATTAAAGCTTCACTGAGTAAAACAAACTGCCCTCCATATATCTATTTAAGAATACATATTGCATAGGATTATAGCCATGCTATACAGTTAAAGAGAGAAAAAATAAAATACAAAATAAAAATCAATCAATGAAATTGGGAAATATAAAAAAAATATTATTTTTTTTTTACAGATTTCCTATCATTTGAACACTCATACTTAAACATATACAAGACACCTAAGTTACTCTGGAAAGAAAAAAAACATAATACACTTATCATTTTTCTTTAGATAGTTAAACACACAGTAGTCATTTTCTATAATCACTCTCAATTAAATTTGAATACTGCCAGTCACTGAAGCCCTTGCTTCACAATAAAAGTTCTGTTAAAAGTGGACTCATTGTCACAAAATCAAACATAGTTAAATGACCATGATATGCTGTACAAATTTTCAAGAATAAAACTAACTATATACTGTATATATATATATATATATATATGTATATATATATGTATATACATATACATGTATATATATATATATATATTTATAATAAGGATGACTCCATAAAAAACATAGGTCATTTTAGATGCAAAAAACGCCACACGAGGGATAACAACAGAAAATGTCTATTCTGAGTATCCTATTGCGTAATTACCTTGCATGCATTGTACATGATATGTAATACAAAAAGGATCACCTCATCTGAGGATATGATAAAATGAATAAAGGAGACATCAACAGCACATTAAAAATGTGTACACCTTTGTGGTGGTTTTCGTCATTATTCGTCATCCTGAAATCTCCACGTAAGACTGAATAAGGCATGCTTAAGACAGCCATTATGTTCTTTTTGTTGCCAGTGTTATGCTGATATTGTTTCTCATAAAATGAGACAAGATATGCTTTTTTCAAAACTGCCCGGAGCTCTTTCCACCTCTGATACCTTCATGTAGTCAAAAAAATGCAGTTTAGCCATCTCATCTGTGAAGAGAAAATCAAGAGAAGGCGTGACTATGGATAATCCTCACAGTGAGTTCTATATTTAGCCCCCATCCCCTACAACAGTGTCTTACTTGAGTAAATTGCTTATTTTGTATTCCTCTGGCGAATGTTTTTGTCCTTGTGGTTGTTTGTTGAATTTGTTTTCCTGGGAAAAAAGAAGCTATGATTTAGTGACCTACAGGTAATGGCAATTCAAATTACAGCACCCAGCATTTCTGTATGAATTATATGTGCAGCAATAGGAATATTTACTTACATTTGTCCAACTGGTTCGTCATCTTTGACACAAGAAGAAAACGGGGGAAAAGAAGGGAAACAGAAGTCAAATATAATGCAAAGACAAAAGCAAAATATTCGTGCTGCATGTTTCAGCGCATTTACTGCAAATAATATGTGCTTTACTTTGCTGACATTTTTCAAAGTTTTCCCTTTTTTTGTTGTGAAAATAAACTTTTAGAAACCTGAAATTTGCTAGAGATATGTTATCAAATCATTCAGTGAACATAAATATTGTGGGATGATGCAGCTGAAAGCACAGATTGCTTTGAATACTTGAATACTGGTGTGGCAGAGTCGTGCACTAGTGGGAAGCGCTGACATCACAGACATGGGAGTCAGCTGCCGAACAGCTTTGTATGCACAAGCGTCGTGTTTGATAAACAGAGTCAGAGGGAAAGCACTAAACATACACAGAATTTAGGAGCTTCTTGCATTATTATTTTTTTTTTTTTCAGAGCCTAAAAGCTGTTAAAGGCTGCAGCATATTTGTAATAGAAGGGCTGAAATGTGAAAAAAACAGTGGCTGGTCTCTTAAAAAACCACATCTTTAATGCCAAACACTCTAAACTTAACCTCGCATGCTATCTCAATCTCATGGGGCTCCTGTTCATTTCAGCCTGAGCATATGTGTAGGAGGGTTACAGATGGCTCACTTAAAGCCATCTTTTAATTACACTCAGCAATTTCATAGTGATTTTTAAAGAGCCTGGTACATGGGTGTGACATTGTGACTGACTTGGCATAAAAACATGAATCCCTTCAAAGCTTTCTCTCAGCATCAATTCCCTGCAGCACACAGTGGTTAATATCTCTCTATACCGTGATAATTTCTATTCAGATTATCTACATGAAGTTAATAAAAATACACATTTTTTGAGCAGTAATTTTCTCAGAGGGACCAAGATATAAAATTGACATACTCTGTCACCATACAGCAGTGCAATGAATAGCATACATTATGATGTAACACTAGCAGAAACTGGTGAATAATAGTGAATATTGTTGCATTGAGTGACAGGTTCAAAAATCCACAGCCTTGGGGTTGACAGGGTGGTTGGTGTTTGGCATACAGATGAAAATGTGTAAACAGGTAAGTAACCAGTCATGGTGAGATATTTTCCATGCAGTTATAAGTCGGAGATAAGCAGCATTAGCAGCATTCCATGGTATTAATATGGACCGGATTATGGCAGTTATAATGTTAGACAAAAAAACATGGTTCAGTGATCACTTGGAGGAGGAACATCTGTCGGTACATCCCCCTGTTTTCACACCTTATATGTATACACCACAAAAGCTGTGTTTACTATAATGGCCTTGCAAGCACATAATGAATAACAGATTTTTGCTGTGTGAGATTGATAGTTGAGTATTGATAATAATCATTGTAGCGCATCAAGTCTGATTGCATCGGTTCTACTTTTTCTGCAGAGATACTGTAAGTTTTTTAGCTTTAAGTTTTCCTTAATACACAAAGTGATTAGCAAATCATCACCCAGCAAAATCTGTAATTTTAGCAACTGGTTTTGAAACACAGGATAGAAATGTCAGCCTTTGCCTCAGAGCCCTTGGCTCTGGAGTATAAAAGTGTTCAAACACAGCTAAGCCATCAAGAGACCAGAATTCATAATGCACACAGACAGGGGCCAAAACCTCCGGGAATACGGGATGCTAAAAGGAGATTTTAGAGAGGCTGTGCATCGTGAGCAGGGAGTCCTCATTCCTGATTTGAATGGCATAAACATGGCAAATATAATCCACCTTAATCGCTTCATTTTTCCGGTAGATGAAACCAAACTAGAGGCCATACACGGAGCTTACTTTAGCAGTGTAGTTTGTGTATGTCTGTGAGTGTGTGTGCATGTATTTTAAGCTGGTATTGTTTTTTTCTGATGATAAAGTAATTATTTTAACAGGTCACAAACAAATAATGATTTATGATTTAGTGATGTAAATCGAATAAAGATAACATGATTAGAAACACAGTTTACCAGCATAGTGTTAAATGTATAATAAATTATACATTAAATAATGTTGAGTAACTGATAACATATTTTCATCTTTAGAAATGTGCACTGATAAATATTATAAATGGGTATCTATACTACTTGTAAAACTGAAAGAAATCATTTGTATTGTCAGTCAATATGTTCATATTATGTAATTGCAACTGATGTTAATACTCATTAAATGGTTAATCAGTGGATAATGACGCATCAGTAAACACTATTTTCAACCCAATTAAATGATTAATACATTTTAAGTCTGTCGCTCTAAGCCTTAGTTTGTGATTGCCTGAAGTGTGGGTAAAGTGTATATGTGGATTAAAAGGAAAGAAAATGAAAAAGAGAAACCCCCACACATTTGATGAAAACTTTAAGACAGGTTTATCTACTTAATATTCCTTACACAATTGACTGAGGAAATCTTATTTTGTTTGGACCGCGGTTGCAATTTCAGACGGCTCCCACGGTCAGTAAATGAAAAGCAGGATGTACCCTGAAGCTCTGTTTGTTTAGTCTGTATTAGAGTGTGGAGTACAACTGTTGCCCAGTTGGAGTGATTCATATTAGTGGTTGCAGTTCTGTATTGTGCTTGTGTTCATGTTTTATTCCAAAAAGAAAATAAGGCAAAGCCACATGAGTAGAGGTCAGACTGAACCTGTGGTGACTGGAGACGCCCTTGGGCTTTCTAGACATTTTCATCTTGTCACATTCTTATCGTGCAGTTTTGTCTGCCTCCTAAAGCACGGGCCATTTCTTTTGTTAAATGGAAAAGCTGGTCTTATGTAGGGGATACCAGACAAAACTTCAAATGAAAATAAGTTACAGTAAATGTATAGGTTGGTTATGTATATATGCATGAGTAAATGGATACAGAATGAATTATTCATTTCTGTTTTTTCATTCCTGTTTTTACTATTTCTCTGCCCACATTGGTGGTTTGATATTTTGGCGTAATGTTCATACCCACGCTGCAGATGCTTCAGTGTAACCTCAATTGGCCACTAAAGTAGGGGCTCTTGAAGCTTTCCTGTACTCCTAACAGTCAAGTAGCTCTGTAATGTTACAACTACGTTGGTCGTGATACGGTATGTTTTTTTATTCTTTGGATTACATTGAAAAACAGGGCTCATCCTGTGTTTGAGGACTGAACAGTGAAGTATTCATAACAGTAGATGTTTTTATTGAATGGAGAAAATACCAGTGTGTTTCAAAGTAGTCCTATTAGTAAAGGAAAGTATTACAGGTGGTTTACAGCATTAATATTGCAAGGCTGGATGGGTCTGCCTTCCTTGAGGGTGTTAACATCTTTGTTTTATATTGTATTTCAGTTAACAGAAAAAAATAGAACAGGGTATATCCACAGCTACCCAAAAATCTATAAAACTGAATCAAGGCATGCATTTGGTTTGGTTTGCCAGTGTGTTTGCCAATATAGTCAATGTAGATAACTTTACTCCCAAATCTTAAAGTTTGGGCGTAATTGTTTTTCACTTCTTTCACTCACATGGTTAGGTTGGGCTGTCACACTGGAACTACTAACATACTGGTACAGGTCTGCATTGAGAAACACAAAATATCTTGATTGGGCTTTTAATATCACAAATATTACGGCTCTTTGGAGATTTACGCAAATTAATCCAACTTTTCACTATTGATCATAGGGGAACATGTCCTTATGAAAAAGGAAATGAATGAAGACAAGTGCTGATTTCACCCAAACTGGTATAAACATAATTTACTGTGTTAATATCTCGGCAAAGATCAAAAGGTTTTGGATGGACTGTAGGCTCGTAAAAACATACAAATCGACATAAAGAAATAAAATCTCCGAAACCATGCAGGATTTCTCACTTACCACCCATTTAGATTATGTTGCCATTTGGAAAGAGGGGGGAAGGGGGAAAGAATAGTAACCAATTAAGTTACATAGTCGGACGGATATATTTTATAGCTACAGGCTGATAACCCCACATGTTTCTGAACACTTATTCTGCTATCAACATGGATCCAAATGTGCTGTTACCATTGCCATTAGCACAGCACACAACTCAGAAAGGTTAGCTGTAGTATATGTGACAATGTTCTTCCTTTCTCCTTTCACCACACCAGTCGAGAGGCAAGGAGGCAAGTCCCTTGACAGTCAGTTGGCCACTACAGATCTCCTCTGAGAGCAGATGCAACCTTGTGGTAGCTTAAAGGGACAGTTCACCCCAAAATAAAAAGTACATATTTTTCGTCTTTCTTGTGCTGTTTATCAACCTAGATTGTTTTGGAGTGATTTGTCAAGTGTTGGAGACATCGGCCATAGAGATGTCTATCTTATCTTGAATATAATGGAACTAGATGGCACTCGGCTTGTGGTGCTCAAAGTGCCAAAAAATACATCTGAAAAACTCAACAGCAATGTCTCTTTCCATAAATCATGTCCCAATTACTCAAGATAATCTTCAGACCTTGTTGTGAGCAGTTTCATGTTTTTCAACTGTTTCTACTGAACTACATCTAACAACGGTAACACTGCACAGAAGGAAGCATGCCTTGCTGCTAGCTCATTTAGCACCATTGAGCTAGCTAACATCACACCTTAGCTAAGGAGGAAGCCATTAATGTTTACATCTGCCATGATTCTGAGCCCTTGTCCATGAGTAGATGCATGCTTCCTTCTGTGTGAAAATAGCTCCTGTATGAAACTGCTCACTACAAGATCTGTGGGTTATTTTGAGTAAACGGATCATGATTTCTGGAAAGCGACATTGCTGTTGAATTTTTCAAATATGTATGTTTTGGTGCTTTTAGCACCACAAGCCGAGTGCCATCAAGTTTGATTATATCTGAGAGAAGGCAGACATCTCTACAGCAGATATGCCCAAAACTATGCAATATTTATTTTTGATTTTGGGGTTAACTGTCCCTTTAAGATCTGATTAATCTTCTTTTGATGACATTTGTTCCTACAGTCATTGCCGGTTTGGAAAACAGTCACTGGGTAGTTTCTGTTCATACTTAAATTTCTTATCTGACAGTTGAAAGCAAACCTCTAATGATCAACCATGTTAAAACCTTAGCCTCAGTTTCATGGCAGTGTGTACAGTACATAGTTAATATATTTGTAAACTATTACAATACATTCATAGCGGACATCAGACACCAGACAAAAGAAAACATCTCAAACCTTCCAAAGTGCAATGTTGTAATTTGAACATAAATAATATCATATCTACTTTCATAGTTTTTTAAAATGTATTCGTGCCTCCTACTAGTAACAGAGAAGAGGTTTTCTTACCATCAATAATGTCGTCTGGCCTCTTGCGTTTCTCATACACAACGATGATGACTACTAGGATTATAATTTCTGCGAGCACACCCAGGAAAGGCCAAAGCGGTGCAAGGTGGCTGCGCACTCGTAGTATAGTGGTCTGAGCAGTGTTTCCAATCACGTTACTGGCATTGCATTGGTATATTCCAGGATCTGTGCTTATATCCAGGTTTAGTATGTTCAGCTCGGTGTAGTTGTCTCTGTTAGTGATGAAGAAGCGTCCGGTGGAGTTATCAATGTCCTGGAACACAAAGTTTATTACAATGAAAACAATAACAATGCTTAATTTGGAATAGATATGCAGCATGCTTTCTAACAGGTCTACCCACTGCACCTATACAGTATAACTGTCTGTTTCTCTCTCTGTCCTTCAGTTTTTATACTTATATAAACAGTATATAGTATACAGTTTACAGTATATAATATGTACACATACCGTGTAGGATGTTCCGTCCATTTTACGCCATGTCCAGGTGGGATGTGGGTAGCCAACAGACTTGCAGTACAGCATTGCATTTTCCCCCTCGTTTTTATTTTCACTTCGCTTGTGGCCGGTGACATCAGGTTTTGCTGGAAAGGTAAAATAAATAAATAAAGCTGATCAATAGCTGAGTTGGCAGAAGTAAGACATTCAAAGGCACGTTTTAACTCCACCAGATGGCATGAATAAGGAAAGCATGATTGGCTGTTGAGGCTATGGCTAAGAGAGAGGAGTGTAATTAAGAGTCTCTATAGTGGGGTAAACACACTGAAGCGGCCCTTTTTCCTTTGAAAATTTCACAACTTCAAGCTACTGCAGTCAAGAAGAAGCACAGTTAGTGGGCTCCTGTCAGATATTTTCAAAAATCATATGCATCACGTTGCATCATTTTGTTAATTAAAGTCACGTCATTACTTCTTACTTACTTCACAGTATCTCACTCAGTGGGTACTGAATATGTGTTGTATCATATTTCCTACATTTCAAGGCTTTCCTCTTTTCCACTTGACTCCTGAATCTACTCATAGGTTTTCTTAGCATTATTTCTAAAAAATCTAGCTAAAGCTAAGCTAAGCTAAAGCTAAAGATGATATGGAGGTATTGATGGTAAAGGAGTATCTACTATTGTACTTGCTAATATAGTTTCAGCACCCTATCATTTAAACATTTACTGTAGCACTAGTAATATTCTAATTATAAATACCTCTCTCTTTGACATAGGTGTGCAGTCAAACTCTCATTAGAGCTGTATTTAAGGAGTGCTTCTAAAAGAATTTGATCATTGCTGATGTAATGAGGTTTTGTTTCTTAGTAGATTCTAATAGTTTTTAGTAGTACATCGCTTAAAATATATGGACAAAATATCCCAGTATGACTTTTCAGCATATGATAAAAATACATGAAAGAAACCCTTTTCGGAAAACCTCATTGAGTCTAGTAAAACAGAGTCTTGCCCAGGAGTACAACTCTTAATAAAAAGTACAGATTCGGGTGTGCAATTATTCTTTGAGCACATAAACCCCCACCACCGAACCCCAGCAATGGGGAATATCACTCTGGAAGAGATAAAAGCATTTCAGTGCAATTTATAATGAGGTCAGGGAAGAAGGGGATCGGTATGATATGAGAGTTTCCAGATGTTCCCATTCAAAACAGTTCTACAGTGAATTCCACAAAAGAGATATTGAGCCAAAGGAAACTGTGTGAATTGTCCCTGATTAATGAATATACTGATAATGAAAATACAACACAAAGGTTCAGGATGTAATAAATTTTGGCATATGTCATAAAGCACCACAACAGATGCCAAGTCAAAGTCATCCATCAATAGAACAGAGTCTCTCCCAAAGGTGAGACACAGACTCTCCATGTAACGCTGCACAGCATCAGGAAGATAACTGTTCCTGCTTTTCCACTAATCCTCAAAATTACAATAATTCCTTCCATGCAATTAAGCAGGATAAGGGGAGAGGCCTGGAGTGAGCATTTTTCAGCTGCGCATGGATAATGGAGCAGGAGGGGTCTGAGCTCTTTGGTGACATCACCCCACTCTAATTATGGTGCACACGTGCTCCCTGAGCAGGGGAGTGGCCAAGCTCATTTGTGCCTTGTCCTGACTGTATTATGTAGTGACAGACAGCACAGAGACAGCCCTCAGAGTGGCGCTAAAACAGGCAGAAACCTCCATTTCACACCCCTGAGTACAATTACTGTGATTATTAATCTGTGTGAGCCAGACAGAGGTAATGTGACGTAGGAGTGTGACAAGGATGTGTGAGGAGGAGCAAGGTCAAAGCTGTCAGAAAAGAAACAGAAAAAAAAGATGACAGCACAAGTTAAAGAGCCATTTAATAAAATCCTTCATTAGGTACTCCCCTTATTTTACGTTTAAGTGGTGACATGTTTTGATTTTGAGAATTTGCGTAAAATTGTATAAACTTGGACAATCAACATTTGTTTGCTTGAGGGAAATGTGAAATTATGAGTATATGTGTTCATAGAAAAATGTGCCTGACATTTACCAAAATTTGAGAAATATAAGGTACCAAATATGTATCTGTGGTAAGCTTAGTATCACAGACAATAAACTCCACTGCTGCCACAGAGATGGCTGGGACCGGATTCAGAGCCTTAATCCTACAACATCACAGAACCCTCCATCTGTTGCCTCTGAGCTGAGTCCTGCAAGGATGAGTGTGCCAAGGACACTGTAGGCGAGGGATCTCAGTGAACTGCTGCCAGAAGCGCAGTGCAAAGCTGGCTAGCATAACAGTGGGCTTGCTACCTGGGTCACAAAAGATCTCAAACACCTCTAGAAAATCACAAGAGCATTTAAGAACTGAAGAAATGCTTTGTTTAGACCCAGCAACAGTACCTACTCTTAACGTCAAAACACACGTTATTTCATTTTTTTAGACATGGAATGTAGGCCCCTTTAAAGGGCATGCATCGTCAGTTTAGTCAAAAGACTGACTTTTTCTCCAGGGGACAGATAGCAAGCCTCAACAGTCACAGGCCTGCAGTCTAGTGATGGCTAGGATACTTCAGTTTGAATGGCGACGAGTCCCATCATCTCACAATCCAGTGAAAGCAGAACACACACGGTCATCACCCATGTTATGCAATCAAGCAGCGCTTTAAGACAGCCGCGGAATAAGAGGCAGGGCATGCTCAGTATGCTCCATAGCCATGCCACAGCAAATTGGCTTAAGCACTACACACAGCCAAGCTTCTCTTGAACAGGGTTTCACTTGCCCTTTCTCAGAGAAGATTCCTTATTCAAGTTGATGGCTTTGCTGTCAGCTTGAATGAAACCAACACAGTAAGGTTATTTGCTGTTACTGTCCTAGTTAACCTTTTCTACTTAAACCATTATTAAAATATAAAATGAATGTACAATCCTCATATCATCCATTTTCTTCAGCATATAACTGCTCTTAATGATGCCTCCTAGTGGGCTTTGTGGTTGCAGGTCTTAGTGAGCCTGTGCAGTGCCTGTCCATTTTGCTAGACTGTTGTATCAGTGCAGGCCAAGAATGACAAAAGCCTCAGGATTGCCCCCTGTCATCACCACTGCACTCGATGAATTCAAACATCTTTGTCAACAAGGACCCTCTTCACACAGCTTTGGGTGGTTCACTTTTGTAGGACGGCTCTATCTCTCTATCTCTTAGTAGTAGAACAAAAAGGCTGAAACTAAAGCCAGGGCTTTCTCAGAAGCTGAATACATTATGGAGGAAATCAATTGTCAGACACTGGCATTTTTTAATAAGCTGTATTTGTGTCATGCATGCAGCAAAGGTTCAGGTGTTAATATGTCACAGAGAAATCTTACCTTTTACTTCAATAGTAGCATTTGCATTCGGTGCCATGTCAAATGTGTAAACACACATGTATTCCCCGGAGTCATCTGCCCGTGGTTTAGCGATTCTACAACAAAACACAAAGCAAACCAACTTATTCCACAACTTTAATTTGCCAGTCAAGTAAATAAAGTCAACTAATTTCAGTTTAACTCCAGTAATTAGTTTGGACTACAGCGGTGAAAGATTGAGGGGTTTATAAGGCCACAGGAGACAAAATGTTGGCATTATGCTGTTATATTACGGAGCAGCAGCTCTGGATTCTGCAGGGAAGGGCACCACGGGCATTTTAGCTGTAATCCTCAGAGTATCACTGATGTAATGTGACAAGGAAGTGACCAATTGGTCTTATCTTGTGGCTAGGGAGAGTCTGTGGTATGTCTACGGGGGCGACAGTAGCTTTGTGCTCCAATGGTTATACTGTGTGACAGCAGGAACTAACAACTAGTTGGTACTTCAGGGTATGATAGTTTTTTTGTATGTTGTTAAATTCATAGGTACAGTTCAATATTTGGCTTAAGGCAGTGATATGCTTTTTTTTGAAAATCAAATGTGTGAGAAAGTCAGGAGTTGCCTCATCTTTGATCTCAATCAATGCTGGTTTGAAGACATTTAAACCCTTGAGTAAACTACCTCCTATCAACATTTAGAAAACCTGTGTTTACTAACTGCCTCAGCCGTTGCTTGAGGTCGACTGTACAATCTAGCTTTGATGATTTCTCTGCCGTGCCGTGTCTATTCAAAACATGCACACTGACAACTTGTAGAGGACCACATGCATCAATGTGATCTGTGGTCTGACCCATTTACAAGCAACTGTTGACAGTTAGCTGTCCAAGCAGAAAACAAACCCAAGGTACCATTTCTGAAAATGTGAGCAGCACGACTATTTTGAATGTAGAGCCACTGGGTACACAGCCTTTGTCTCAGCAAGGTCCTGCTCTGTGATATTTTCAGGCAAGAATTTCTCCAGACCCCCACTGTTTGAGAGCTAGATGTGACTATGCAAAATCACCTCAGCATTGTTTTTTTTTAGCTGGCAGAGCCACATTTAGATAACTTGTAGATAAATCCGCTTTCTATTCCTAGGAGCAATTTCCTCTCTCCCAAACTTTGTCCTACTTACTACACAGAGGCAAAGCCGTTTGTCACCTGTATACTGTGTTCCTCTGCTCTGTCCGCGTGTTTGCGATTTCCTGTCCATTCTTCACCCAGAAGCTTTCCCTGTGGGGAGTGTGGGCAGTGGTGAGGTTACACTGCAGGGTAACGGGTTTGAGAGGAGTGTCCGCTGACAGGATGGTCTGATCAGAGGCATTGATCTTTGGTTCTGGAAGACAGAGACAGTCAAACCTTATCACAGAAGTGGGGCTCAACGCCGTTTTAACGCTTCCTCCCATGCTGTAGTAGCTGTAGGCTGTGTGCTGTTTTTATACGATCTGTGTAGGAGGAGGGTGTCTATGAAGCGAAAACAAAAGTGCACACAACAAACAAACAGAAGACATAATAAGTACATGAAACAGCTGTGAAGCCTTGTATCAACCATTTATCTTTAGAGTAAAAAAGTAGTACTTAAGTAGTATTTCTGCATGGATCAACATTAGGAGAATAAGAGAGATTGAGACAAACAAAATATTACTCAAATATTAATTAATGACTGATTATATCTATCTCTTCTCAGAGCACTGCATTTATCAGTGATTTTCTGAATACTTTAAGTCACAGTCTCCAGGAGGATATATGACAGATAGGCCTGGAAGATATACTGTGGCTGATAACTGCAGACATTTTAATGCTTCATTTTAACAGGGGAAACTGGATGGACTCTCAAAGATGGCCCACCCTAAAGCTTGCATGTAAATGTCATCAGAATATAGAGGTAAAAAAATATACTTGGAGATCTGGGCTGAAGATTTATACAACACTGAGCAGTCCCTTGACATTTTTACATTATAGCTGAATGACTACCTAAATTACTTCACCCTCCAAATGGCTAAGCACACTGGTTACTACACAATACCAGGGTCCATTTCTCAAGGACATTCAGGGAAGCAGGAGGTGTCATCGGAGAGCGAGGTGTCCTTTGCTCTGCCATGAGTAGTGAGCAGGAAGCCTCCTCCGCCCTGCCCCTCCTCCTCTTCCTCCTCCTCCTCCCACTCCAGGGCGGGCCAACCATGGCAACGATGGAGCCCCCAAGGGGAGGAGCAGAGAGGAGAAGCATCATAATCCTACTACTGGCTGCTGCTGCAAGGCCACTAGCAAGGGGAAAGAAGAGCTACTAAGACCTGCAAGTGACTTCTATTAGCATGCATGACACCTTCTTCTTGCCATTCTGTATAGTCAATAGCTGAGAGGATATCTCATCCCTCCCCCCTTACAGCTCTCTCTCCCCCACCAAGCAGAACCACATGTACTATTAATAGTATCTTGGAGACATGCATACACACACATTATGAGGTACATAAATTAACATTTAGCAAACACGGCACAGTGGTCCACAGGCAGTTTAACCGGAAGGTTGTTTGTAGGACACCACGACTTAAAATGTGGTAACTGTTGGATAATGATCGCCACATCAGAATGTGACTATAGTGAAACCTGATCTCCCCCTTTCCTCTCACTGCTGCTATAATACAGAGCTGCATTTAGATTGATATTGTATCCAATTATCTGACAGATATTATATGAGGGGGTGATACCTTTTTAAATGATTACATCATCAACATGTTTTTTCGACCTCATCGGATACTTAATTAAACTACCAGTTTTGATTGAATGTCAGCTGGAGCTGTTACATTTTCCCAAGATATATTCAATCTTTTAATCTAAATAGCTTGGCAAGGTCTGTGTTTGGGGGCCGCATTATATCATTGTAAAAGGCAAGGCAGGCCTCAAATCATAACATTGTAGTACACTGCAATACAAAAAGTGCAACACCGGAGAGATGTCCAACTAACTGTACTGGCACAGGGAGAAAAGTGGGCCTCCTGAGCACATGGTTGAGCTAAATGGTTTGAACCACTCATTCTTAATAAGGATATGCAATTTTCAATACATCCTTGTGTCTATTTCAAAACAACACACATTTGTGATACTTTGTGATACAAACAGTAGATCTTCACATACCATTATGACTGTTCTAAAAAGCAAAGTCTCACAAATGTGCTTACTGTAAAATAGCTATCTTTCCACTGAGATCTGTTTTTAGTTAAAGTGATACTATATACAAAAGCTATCTGTACGTATTTTGGTATGAAACACTCACTCTTGCTGGCTTTAAAAGTGGCTGTAAAAGGTTTGAGGTTTACTTTTCCCCAGAGACACCAGCTGTGTTCAGCTTGGATTCCAAAGGTGAAAAGCTCTTCACGCAAGAAACAAAAATGGAAAATCATTTACAGAAATCTTGCAAACCACTCCTGCACCATCATCACTTCCCCTAATGTGTATTTGTATCTTCAGAGAATTCCTCCAAAATACAACTAAATAAAGTACTTTCATGGAAATTTCAGGGTTGCAAGAAGAGTGATAAAAAGGAAGTGTGACATGAAGCCATGTCTTTTGCCATATTTTGGTGTAACATCGGACGATGATGCAAGAGAAGTTTCTACAGACATTTTGAAACCTTGTCACCATTGGAATCAGATGTATTTGACATGAAGTCAAAGCTGAACCCAGCTGATGTTTCTGTCAAAGCGATAGTGCGACATTTTGGGAAATAGGCTTCGATTCAAGACTTAGATATGAGGAACGATCCTCTCATTTCTAGAGAGTGGTATTGATTTCCTCCCAAAAAAAGCAAAACTTTGGCAAAGTAGCACATTTTCCAAAATGTCCAGGTATTCCTGTGAAGGTCCAGTGTGTAAGGTTGAGGGGATTTAGTGGTATCTAGCAGCAAGGATTGCAGATTACTGCCAGCTTCTACTGGCAAGAATTTCGTCAGCATTTATAGTTCAGGAGGTTTTTAGCGGGAGGCAAATTATCCACAAAATAAAACTAATTATATATTAAACAAATGGACCCAGTGATTGCCCACCCTCATTGCAAAGGGGCTGCCAACTACAGTGGCCAGTGTGAAACCACGAATGGCCCTATCTAGAGCCAGCCATTTAGAAACATGACAGTGCAATGTAGCATAGACAAGGACCTGCTCCCTATGTGGATTTAAACGGCTCATTCAAAGGTAATGAAAACACAGTGATTCCTTTTTCAGGTTATTATACACAAAAGAAAACAGATTATATTATATTATATTCTATTTCTGCCAATATATACCCCTAAATCCTACACACTAGACCTTTAATAGGAAAAATACAATTTCTTTAAGAGTTTCATACTCAAAAGATAGATTTGGGGAGAGTATCACTTTAAACACATGTAGAAAGTACATGTTAAAAGATGTATCTTCAGTCGATATTATCCACGCATGCATATTTTTGTTTTGTTTTGTTTTTTAATTGAATATTAAACAGTCTAGTAATGGTAATCAATTACTCCGTAAATATCATGGTTCTGAGTATAGTGATTTAGAGTGATTCACATTCACAAGCTAAATTAAACAAAAGGCCAAAACAAGACAGTAAGACTTTGGCATGTTTCCCCAACTACAGACAATACATCCATATTAGTGGGCTATTATGTATAGCCTGTTATATACATGTAATAACTTGGATATTACATGTATATATGAAGAACATTTACTCCTCAGTAATGACAGAATATATTTAGCGAGGGCTTGAATTGCAGGTCAGACAAGTTACACTGTGGCAGGAATGTAGCAAACGAGTAAATGTGAACAGCTTCTGTCCTTTGCACTTCTTTTAACAGTTTAAATTGCCTCAGCCCTACAGCTAATCAAATAGTGCTCACACAGAAATCAAAATTTGTCAGTCCAATCAGAAGAGCCAGCAAGGATCAAACTCCTCTAAGCTTCTCAGAGAGCTTCACTATGACTAACAACATTCCACATCTCCGTGTGCTCCAGTGGGCAGAGCACTGAAGCATGTACAGATTAGGAGGGTCCAGTTGAAATTCAGTTTGTTTGAATGTTTGTGTGCATAGCGCAGAGGGTTAAAGGATATAATGTCATTACTGATTCACAGTCACACGCTTAATGGCTGAGAAGGCACAAGGTTACACAGTGCACAGGCGAGTCCAGAGAGACTGTTTAGTAAAAGTGAAATCTCTGCCTCATCTGAACGAGAAACGAGACACTCAAGGCCCTCGTGTGGTCGTATCCTTTATTGGATTACCACACATGAATTTGAAAGCAGAAAATGTTTGCTTTTATCAGGGAAAGAGTTGACAACAGGAATCACTCTTTTACACCTTAACGGATCCCTCCTTGTGTCTTCTTACAGTCCCATTTACACTGTGCCCAGAGTGAGAAAGCCAAATCAAAAGCACCATTACTTCAAAGCACCACTAGGTTTCTGCTACATTTAGCAGGCAGGGCTTTGAAGTAAATAAAACAATCCACATAACGCAAGAGACACAACATAATGTTAAGGGAATAAGTATCACAAATAAGTCCAGGAATAGGAAATGGGTGAAATTAGGATACAGAGAAAAAGATAATGATCAGAATATTGTAAAAGGACACATGAGACAGTAAGAACGAAGGTCTGGTGTGGGAGGAAAGAAGGAAATGTAGATAGAGACTGGGTAAAGTTCCTGGGTTTGTGGTCATTTACAACAAGATGCTCAAGGGATTTGGGGAGAGGCTGGGAGTTTACTGAGTTCAGTAACTAAATTGAGGAACAAAATTGAATATTTATGAAAACAAAACTCAAAGGCAACCATTGGCATTAACATTACTATTAATACTTGTGGGAAAAAACCTTTAAAAATGAATAAATAACATGATTAGTGATTGTTTTATTTCTGTCTGGCCAGTGAACGCTGTGGTGGGGTAGGCTCTTGAGAGGTTTTTACGGGCTGGAGTGGTTAGGACAGGGGAATAGTTCGTTCATCATCTAGGTACTACAGCACATAGACCACTCACTCTGTAGCACCGAAATGGTGGCCTGGGCGCGGATCCAGGTGATGGCAGGGTTTTGTCGGAGGTCATTGCGCTTGGGGTCGTTGCTGGCCCGGCACTCATAGGTCCCAGAGTCCTCCAGTGTGAGACGCGTGATGCCAAGCACACTGACCCCATTGGTGCCGTAGGCCGTGTTGATGGATACCCGACGCTTGCGGGCTCCGTCCCACAGCTGCTTGAAGGAGTCAGCTCGGTTGATCTCAGCATACCACCACTGGATCTCCGGAGTTGGGTTACCAACCACGTCGCAGTACAGCTCAAAGGTGTCCCCCGTAAGCTTAGTCTCAGACATTGGCGACTTCACAAACCCAGCTGGAGAGGAAAAGTGTATCAGGATGGCAGGGAAGGAAAGGGTAGAAGAGGGTTAGAGCAGTAGGAAGGTGTGATAAGGTTAAGGGATGGAGAAGGAAATTAAATAGGATCAGAGTACATACAAACAAAAGAGCGGATGATTAAAGGCAAATGATAACGAAGCAAGGCTCAAATCATCGATAGGTGGAAAAAGAAAAGGCTAATGATTCACCTAAATCCAGTCCATTCAACGTCAGGGTTCCTTGGCCCACTAAGGCCATTAAACTGTCAGACAGAGTCATAGTCAACCAGTCTCAAGTCCATGCCAGCAAGTAGTGCTGGTATAATTTCTCACTCTGTTTTCTTTTTCCTTTCTCCATGTCTTTTTCTCTGTCACATTTAACCGTATAAAGATGAGTGCAACAAGACTGAAGGGTAGAACTATTTCTGCATTCTCACTGAGTTTAATCAGTCTCCTTAAAGGTTTGCTTGTCAGAGAGCCTTGACAAGTAGGTGAACAATCACTCAAGGCTTTTCTACACTCACTCTGTGGCAACAATCAGTGGTACCACTCCTACTTGACCCCACTGACATGAAAACTTCTCATAAGAGTGCCACACATTTGTCAGTGCTGGAAAAAAACATTGCGCAGACAATCACATGATTTGTCAAAATCATTGGCTTGGAAATGTTCCCCTTGAGATTAAGCCTTGCTGACACCACTCTGTCACAGGAATTAATGTCACTTAAGAGTTATATGACCTGCTGGAATGAAAGGTTATTGCATCCATTAAATGTGTTAGTAAGTTTGTTAGTTAGAATACCTCATCAATAAGAACTTGAAAGTTTGGCAAAGTAACACATTTTTCGCACTGAGGCACAGAGGCACCCTTTAGCGTTGTTATAAGACGCACAGGGTGGCTGCATTTTTCGACATTCCAAGCAACTGCCATAGTATAGAAAGTGAGAAAGTCCACATAAGTCCGGTGGGTGGAAAGGGAGAAGGGGAGGTGGACTTTCACCTGGGAGACAGCTGTTCATTTCCTGTGTGAAACCAAAAGAAATTTTTATAACAGTGTAGTGTGCTAGTATGTGTAGCATGCTATGGTAGTGACAGATGTTACGTGACGTTATATCATGTTTTTAACAAACACAGTTATTCAAATGGCATTATCTCGCTTATACCATGGTCACTTGTCAAACAAACAAACAAAAAAACTTCCTTTACATTTTCATGTGTTTTGCAATCAAAATCTTGTTTTTTTACAAGCCTGAGTGTTTGACCTATACCTGGGACAATCATTACCATGAGTGCAATGGGAACATTGTTCAGTCCGCCAGTAAATAGGCCAAACCTCAGATATGACTCCACACAGCTCACAGAACCCTTTGGCTCAGCTATGAGCCAGAAAGCTAACGTTATGCTAGCAAGATTCAAAGTCAATACCATTGCATATGGTTGACGAACAGTTAATATAATTTGACAGTATATTTTACTACAAGACTAATAATAAGTTGTTAGCTTGTTAACTTGTTGCAATAAATTGTAAACAGAGGCACTGACTACGTCCCAGTTACTCAATTTCGATGACTGTGTTGTTATTTAGACAATGAACAGACAATTTTACTGGGACTACTGGGAATTATCAGAAATGAATGAACACCCTGCTGCCAATTAAAATCAAGTATTCACCCAGACTATGGTATAACATACTGTATATAAACTTGTATGATTTTTTCACTAATTTGTTGATACCCTTCACCAGTTTCCTATAATCCATTAATCCATTTTCTACATCCACCTGTTCTGTTCAGGGTCACAGGGTGCTGGAGTCTATCCCAGCTCATACGGGTAGGTAGGGTACACCCTGGACATGTCGCCAGTCTGTCACAAGGCTAACACATACAGCCGGACAAACACATTCACAGTTGTATTCACACCTTTAGGCAATTTACAGTCATTGGTTCACATAACATGCATGTCACTGGACTGTGGGAGGAAACTGGAGATCCTGAGGGAAGCCCATGCAATTCTTGCACATGATATTGTAGAAGGTTAAATGGGTCTGTTTTTGTTTTGTTGTTTTTTGTGATTTTTTAACACACTGAAAGAAAATCTTCACATTGATTTTAAAAGGATGCATTCTGTGATGTCATACAGATATTTTGCCTACTCAATAATTAATACGTTCATACACTGATGCCAATTCTCATGGCTTATCTTTTTTCTCAGAGCTTGAAAAGCCTTTTAAAAACAATTCACAGAATCTTCACAAATAGATGTTACTGTATGTATGTATGTAAACCTAATCTCTTCATCCATATCAGCTCTTGCTAGTAACACCAGAAATTAGGTCAGCCAGCTTTCATTTTGGATAAGATGGACTTTAAGAGCAGGTTCTCAAAATTCACATATGGTCACAGTGGAATAGGATCGTTAGATGGAATCACACACAGTTGATGTGTGCTTTTAAAGCAAAATTAACTTTATTTAAGAAACACGTGGAACCTGAATATGCAGTCATGTCCCCAATACATCTCGCTGCTGGCATTTAATCTGAGGGAGCTGTACAAACAACCCCTATTTTTTCTCCCCACCTTACCTCCATGTGATGAAACACAGTGAAATTTATAGGATCTATAAGCATTATTACCACGACTGTGAGTGCACCATGCTGTGTCTGCGCCTGATTCATGACCCGGTTTCACATCAGTAGTTAGCCCAACAATGCACTGCCAGCCTTAATGAAGCTCATCTAATGACAAATCACCTGGACCACAGACACTGTTCTCTGCCGCCCCTGCAGCCTGTCAGCTGTAAACCACATGTGCTTAAATAAATCAGAAAAAAAACATTGCCTTAACTCTGCCCTGGATTGTTGTAGAGGAAATGGGAACAAAGAGCCTGTGGTCTCTTGAGTGTTAGACTGTGTGCTGTGTCTAAATACAACAGCTTACAGGCCCTCCCAGATCTGTCTGCCCTGCTCAAAGTAATGTCTCATAAGCACATGAACAGATAAGCCCATGGAAGCCTGAGGAGGGAGTGTAAACAGCTACATTCAGCTCATCCCCACAATGAAGCCATTTCATTTAAATAATTTTATTGAAAGTTTAACTGCCAGGTGAAAATAAATACCATTCACAAGGCTTACAGTACATTATTCTCTGCACAGTGGACTCAAAAAAGGCTGTCAAAGTACAGCCAAAATATTTCACATACCTAACAATACATGGATTTTTGTTAGTACAATGGTAACGTGTCTGTTGCTTAACACTAGTTTGTGACTCACAGCCATATGAAAATTAATTAGATGAAAGGAATGAGAAAAAGTGAGGAGAATTTAGCAAATTAATAAAATAATATTTGAGGTATTCATGTGTGAGGATATTTGGTGCTTACAACTTGTGTTGCTATGTGCAATTCCTAGAGATATGCCGAGTAATTAGCATTTGTTTCTTTTCTCTGGAAACATCTGGGCCCATCAAGCTCACCACATAATCCCAGAGGGTAAATCCAAGCCTAGCCGCCTACACTGCTAAAGCAATATTTCAATTTGACAGAACATTCACTATGGCGTTCTTTACTGTGATTATGGGTATGACAGTAAATTGGCTCAGCACATGGCACAGATAACCGTTGTCAGCCATGCGTAAGTGCTCATAATCACAGTATAGTATCTTCTTAAAATAAAAAAAGAAAATAATGCCCTCCAAGGTGATGGCAAATTAAATCAGAAAAAGGAACAGATGACTTAATTTAAATTCAGGCTCAGGGAGGCTCTGCGGAGAAATACCCACAGAACAAACTACAGACAGCACTCGGCCAATGAGCAGGCCAATTTTTGTGTTGTTTAAACAAGGAGCTTATACTGGCAGTGAAAACAAAACACAAAGTAGCCAGCCGGTACTCATTCATTTCAAAGGCGTGCGGGGAGACAAGAAGTGACAATGAATGGTGGTCAGATCTCAGCTACTTGGTGACAGAGGAAAGATGAACGCAGACGATGATAACACTTTTATTGTTGGATTGTTTTTCTATAAGCATAGTAGGCTCCTCCTGCTGTTTATCGTACATGGACATCAATGGACATGGACATGTTTTTGCTGCAACCTACATAAAGTTTCAAATAGAAAGTCATCTGATGATTATTGTTCCAATAATCAATATATTATTTCATACAGTAAACTTTATAATATGCCCTACCATTTCACAAAGCCTAAGATGATAACTTAAAATTGATATTTCTGTCCAACCAACAACTGTCTAAAGTCAAAGATATTCAACTTAAACAATATATACTGTAACAGCAGCAATACTTGGTGAACTTCGCAACTTTAACAATCTCTTATCAAAATAATTGCCAATTAATTTCCTAAACTTATCAACTCATAATAAATTGACTAATTGCATGGCAAAAAATGCATGGTTAAAAATATTAATATAAATTCATGTTTCAATGCATGTTTTTTTTTTAACAGTAGTGTATCTGTGTTTTGTGTTATTCTTCAAAATCCACAGTATGGACAATGCCTGCAAGCAAGAGACTTGGTGGACTTGCAGCACATCACAAAGCCACTGTTGATGTTAGTGCACAGTTAGTGTACATTTGTAAGGGCAAATAAAAACAGTACACAACAAGCTCTCTAACACATGAATTGTTGACCAATAAAACAATAAAGTAAGTGAGTCAAACAAGAAATAGACTTGTCTAGTATACCTGGGGGCCTAAATGAAACTATAATCATAAAGCTCTGTAGAGCCTTAACAATGTAGGTCAGACTTTACCGTCACCTAACGTCAATCAAATCAAATACTTGCTCTCTGTAGACTTTAAAGGTTAGCTCTAAAAAGTTATACTTAGTGATGTAGAGGAGGTAATATGGAGTTATACAGGGTTTACCCACTGCTTTTTCTGGCAGTTTATGGTGTACCAACCTATCAACTAAAATGCCACTGACATATATAGAGGTGTATACCCACTTCCTTCTCTGTAACCTACCCATCTATCTAGAAGTACACC